TTAAGTAATCATATAGGCTATTGACCATGACAACATTAGAATTCCAATCACCACAACCTTACCATAAGTACTTGTTGAACAGAGTAAAATATTCAGTTATTTAGTATCAATATTCTTTTTTTTCACCAGCAGGGAACCATTGATAAAGAACGTAAAGCTCGAGTCATTGAACGAGTTCAGCGACAACAAGAGTTAAAGCGATTACGAACAGCTCAAGAAATACAACGTCAACTAGCTGAACTAGAAGTGAAACAGAGGGACCTGGAGCAACAAGGTGTCAGTGTTGAAAAATCTCTTCGAGGAGAAGCCACAGGTATTTTAGTCTGTTGCCTGTTTTAATGTATAAGTTAATCTAAGTAAACTTTGTAGGTAAACCAGTCATTTTTTATCTTACTTATTATTATCTAATAATAAAGATTATTTATTGGATTGGTGTGTTTCTAATACTTCCTAGCTTGTGATACTCAATATTTAGATTTATTAGATCATTGAAAACTAAAAACATCCATCTCCAGTCTAAACAAAACATAGACTGGGGAGAGTGGTTTAATTAAAAAATATTTTTATTTCGTAAAAAAATGAACATAGTCAGAACATAGAAATAAACCTTTAACTAATTCATAATTTGTTCATCTATCTTGACAAACTTGATTTATTATTTTGTGAGAATGCTTATACTGTGAAAAAATAACTAATAGAAGCAGCATTATTCAGTTCTTGGTTGATAAAAGGATTAAGCAGATGAGAGTATACTTCAAAGGTGTAGCTAATGGACTGCATCTGTTTAGGAAGTTTTGGATGATGTTTACAGCTGCTAGTGCAGATCTGATGAAGAACTGGAATAGGAGTTTGAAATGTCATCCAAAACTACCTAGACATACTCAACCCATTGATAATGCCTTTCAAGCTTTACTCAGCATGGCTGTTTTTTTAAACAACTATCATTTATCCATTAATTAATGCTGATTACTGCTACTTTCAATTTAGCACAAAGTAAGCAGAAGTCAGAAACTGAACTGATGACAGAATGGTTTTCTCTGGTTCACCAAAAAAACAAGTTAGCGAGAGAGGAACAAGAATTATTGATCAGGTTTGAATATTTTATTTACTTAATTAAACTGTAATTCAAATACAGTACCTCACTTCCAACCTCAGATAGTACTTCTGCTTCACTCCTGAAGCCAGATTTTGTTTTTGGTTTGTTGTTGTTTTGTTTGTTTGTTTGGGGGATAAATCAAAACAAAATTGCTATTGAATGTAGTATAGAACCACTTCAAATAATTTAAAATAAAATTAAAACATGTCTGAGTAGAAAACTTTAAAGTTTTTCTGTTATTTTCAAAAACAAACTATTTCATGGAAATGAACTACTGCCTTAATATGATGTTTTCTTGGCCACAAATAACAAGTTCCAGACATACTACACTTAAGACTTGATTATTCAACCAAATGTACACATTTTACTAAAAATATAATAGTTTAGAACTTATATTAATTTCAGAGAGAATGTTAGCTGTACTACAACCCTAAAATATCTTTCTTGTTATGTCAAGAATTGAATTTTTTGTTCTTGTCTCCATTTCATCATCTGTCATTACCCAAAAGCCACATAAAATTTACAGCTATTCTTACTGAGTTGAACCATCCCAAAGAGTAATGCAGTGGATTCACAAACATTTTTCATATTCAAGTGAGTGTGGACAGTACTGGAAAACTGATTTCATAAAGGGCATGTAAAGATATACCCTACCTACATTGTGCTTTCTCAGAGGACTTCTGCAATCATAAACATTATTCCAGAATCCTGAAGTAAATGTAACCTAAGAAATTAAGATAAAATCTGCATTGAACATATGGTGTTCACAAAGAAAGATCCCCAAAAATCATATACAGAAAGACTTGATATGTTAGTGATAATGTTAAAAGGCATTGGACCAAGTTGAAGATCTCCGAAAGTAAACCTGGTTACTGTAGCTAAGATACAGTAAACTAATCTATATATAAGTTGGAATGCTTGTCAAAGATCATGCAGGTAGACATTTTAAGCTAATAATTGGGTGAAATAAAAAGTTGAGGGTGGACAATCTTGCTTGTTCTCAGACACTGAAAAAGGGCAAGCTAGTCATAACTTCTTAATTTTAAATCAAGTCACATAAATTTTGTGAAGAAAGATGGAAATCTGGAGCATCTGCCAAACAAGAGAAAACAAAATAGAAATAAGGGTGAAAAATTGACGAAATCTGTTAGATAATTCAAAGAAAATATCAACCTGAAGCAAGATAATGAGTAATGAAAAAAGTGAATGGGTTGTAGGACAGAATGCTAACACAAGTGCGTAAACAAACCAGAAAAAGCCACCAAATCAAATTCTAACTTGTGTAAAGTGTAGTCTTAGTCTGTTAAGTTATCAGTAAAGTCAGAGGATTTAATTAAAGGTGATATCTATGTAATAGTAGTTACCCAATAAATATCTGTGTTAAATATGATATGACAAAAAAAAGAGCTATTTTGGTTTTCTTCTGTGTGGGTAGTGTCTTTTCACATTAAAGAAATGTTTTTAAAACTTACAGATAATATCCACAAGTGCATTTTAAAGGTATTTTTAAATCAGAATGCATATTTAATTTTTTTTCTTAATAAAGATAACAACATAAAGTGGATACTTCCTTGGCAGTGTGGTATTTGAATATCAAATATTTCACTCTCCTAAATCTAGTTGAGGTCATATGCTGAATGACTTCAGTCATATGTGTTACTTCTGTAGCAGAGTCCAATCTACTGTTTTAGTAATTTTGCATCTTACTTTACCATATGATAGAGGCTTTTGTGATTGTCACATGGAATAAAGATATTGCCAAATTATTGTAATCTAGTTTTCTGATTGGTCAGCTATAGAGAAAAGGTGAATTGTGAATATATAACTTATTAATTTCAAAGTTGAAAAAATGGATCATTCTTGTCAGGTTAAATATGGTATGCCAAAAAATAAAACAGGAAATGATGTAATGAGTTCAAAAACTCTGACTGAGTATCTTATCTTTTTTCAAAGTTTACTGAATCTGTTCCTGAGAGAGCAGTGTAGGTAATACTTCTAGCTTCTTTCTACATTTGTTGTAGGTTTTAAAGCTGGTTGTACAAAAAAAAAAACGTTTTTCAACATAATCAAACTGAGGTCATTTAGGTATCTAAAGTATTAAAAAGGAAAAGGTGGACATGTTTGATTTTAGTTTTGCACGAAGTTGCAGTTTTTGTGTAGTATTTTGACAAACTTTCATTTTTCAATGTATTTAGTAGTAACTTTTAACTACAAGACACAGTGAAATTATAACAGCCTGTTTTGACCACCAGAAATTCTTTCTCTATATCAGACTGTATATAATTGCTGTAATTCTATTGTTGAAATATTCTATTCATTTGACCAGAGCTAAAGACTTGGAATTAGAAGACAGACACATTCGTCTTCAGCAAGAGATTAGAGAAAGAATGGCCAGGAATGGTAAGTTTACCTTCACCTCATAGAATTTATATGTCTATAATAATACTAGTATATGTGTATGCTCTCATATAAAGTAATCTAAGTCTTGAGTTCAATAATAAAAAAAAGTTTTAGTTAAAAAACCTGAAAGAATGGGAACCATTGTAATGAAACATTAGCAGTGTTTCTCTGTGTTATATTTACTTATTATTGTGTAATTACAGTAAAAAACTGAAGAATGGGAACCACTGCAGACAAAACATTAGCAGTGTTTCTTTGTGTTATGTTTACTTATTATTGTTGAATTACAGTAAAAAAAGAAATTGGATCTTAAAATATTATAACATAATTTAACAACAATAACTGGGTAACATTAAATGTGAAATAAGTGAGCCAGTGAATCCATTAATACATGTTTCAATACATTTATTTTTCACACCTGCTTGAAATTGCTAATGTTCTTGTTTCAAGTGAGTTAGTTGCAATGAATAACCAATGAAGTGGAAGCTGCAAGTTTTCATGGGCCTCAAAATAATCAAAAGAAGGTAGAATTGAGCAGTGTAAAATGAACAGATTATTGTTTTATTATATATATATATATATATATTGTGTATGTATGTGTATGTATGTATATGAGTGAAAACCTAGTGACAGATTGCTCAAGCAGTTAGCATTTTGATGGGTGCATCTCCAAAAACATTAAAATGGTTTGATGCAACTGATAATTTGAAAGGAAAGAGTGTACGAGAAAAACGTTCAGATTGGGAGGCAATGTCATTCACAGGATTTCATCATCAAATTTATTAAAAAATTCCCTTGAAATGGATGCAGAAATATAGAAGTTAGACTCAGTAATTGAACCATTTGAAGGCAGTTGAAAGAAAATGGCTTTGTGCTAAACATGCTGAACATTTAATGTTTGAACTTAGTCGAGTATTTGAACTGTGCAGAAGATCACAGAGAAGATTGAATGTAATATAGTACCATGGACTGACAAAATAAATTTGAGTTTTTTAGAAACTAAATGGTTTTTTATATGAAGAAGTGAACATTAGAAATTTAAGTAAACACAGAAAACCATGTGGTTCTATAATAACATGTTTTTGTACGATGAGAAATACTGTCAGGATTGATGATACTATGTAGAAGAGGCAATTTTCTGGCTCTCTTTGAATTTCATAAGAATAATGAACAAAATTATACAGTCTTGGTGAATAAAAGAAGATGGAAAGAAAGAAGTAAAAATTATGAAATGGCCAGTCCAAAAGTCCTGATGCTAATCCAGTTGAAAATTGGAAGAAGAAAAATCTGCTTAATAGTTTAAAAGATTGTTGGCTTAATTATGTATTGTGTAAACTAAATCAGTTACTTAATTTTGAGGCTTTACTTGATAATGTGAGAAGTGATACTTTTGACTTTAAAGTTTAACTGACATTGTATATGTGTATACAACCCCAGAATAAATGTTGAAACACTCTACATTTGGTTATTGAGAAACTATCAATTTCTTTAACATATCATTTGCTGTTGAAGAAAAGGTGGAAGAGAAATAACTAAGCAATGAATTTTTTGTGTCATTTAATGTCTTTTATAATTTGGAGTCAACATACACTTATTAAACAAGGAGCATCGATATATGGTAATGAACTTGATTCTGAATGATTAGAGAAGAATAACTGTTCTGTGTTGGTCTACAGGCTAATATACTAATTCTTAAGTCTTAGAACTCTCAGAGATAAATTGAAACTGTTGTATATATATATATTTATATTTGAAGAGAGATGTAATGCTACTGGGTTTAGTAATTATAAAAGACTTGGTCCCCCCCCCTTTTGGCATTTAGTTTCACTGGACCATGCAGTCGGCTAATTTGACTTGTTTTAGCTTGTTTCAGTTATTTTGAGCTCAACATTCATTTGGTGTGACTGAATTTAATCCTGGTGAAAACTGACAAAATTATAATATTTTTAAACATTATTTTGAAGTTTGTCCATAAAATTCAAATTAAACTGGATAAATTAGCCAAAATACAACCTATTTCTAAGCTTATCTAGGGAGTTTCTGTATTATTAAACAGGAATTGATACAAATGACAAATAATGAAACTGGACTGAGTGTTTTTATTCTGCCAGATTATGAAAACTAAGTTAATGGATGCATCAATTAAATATTTTCTTAGTTGTTATATGCTGAACAAATGACAAATAATGAAAACTGGACTGAGTGTTTTTATTCTGCCAGATTATGAAAACTAAGTTAATGGATGCATCAATTAAATATTTTCTTAGTTGTTATATTTAATGATTTCATTGAAGTATGTAATTTTATTAATTTTGTCATTAAGACTCTGAGAAAAATCGCACTGAAATAGAAGAAGAAGGGAAGATGCTAACTGAAATGCTAGAAATTGTCAAGGAAAGAGATGAACTGGTAGCCATGTTAGACCAACTTAAAGTCAGGTGAGAAACTTTTACTTTTTAATGTATCTAGTAGACTATGTGATTAATTATTTTTTGCATCTTGAATTGAAAAATATAACTAATTTGATTTGTGTGTTTAGTGACTACCTGAAATGTTTCAACTGTATATGTATAACTGTTACGATTGTTTGATAAATTTCTACTGAAACTCATAAATGCCTTTTTAAATAAGAAAAAAAAAATAGGTATATATTCAAGATGTATGGGGATAGGTGCATTTTGTGCTTGCTGGAAGACAAAATACAATGTTATTGTTGAGAACTGTGAATTGATTAAAGATAGTGTGCCAATAATATGTAAAAAATTAAGAAGGATGAGATGATATATTATGTAATACATGAAATAAACGTCAAATAAGTATTTCTTGAACAATATTTGATAAATAACATGGCCAAAAATTACATTTGCGTATTTGGACATTTCATATTACACGTACATAAGTCAATACTAATGAAAAAATGGCTGAATGCTTATTTCTTTTTAAACTCCTTTTCAAATTGAAGTGAATTTTTAATAGTACAAAAAAAATGACTGAGGTTAGTTTAAATAATTTTTGTGTTGTATATTACTAGCATTTCTTTTATACAAAAAGTACAGTCAATACCACCCTCCCAAATTTAAAGTAATTTGAATGGACTGGATCAGTTTCATAATCTAGGGATACCTTTTTAGGTGTGTTTCAAGGTTTCTGTGATGTATTCATTGTAACACAGTTTGCACACACGATAAGTGTAATTCATTTGTGTATTCATATCTTAAAGAACACTTGTCATTATTATTAATGAGGCTACTTTGGATCAATTTTAAAACCCTAGGAACATTCATTGAAAGGCTCGGAACAATCTCATCATATGTGAAATCAAATGTCTTGCTAAACACTATACTAAGTATTCTATTCATTAAAAACATTTCAGAAGTATTGATACTCTGGGATTAAACAGTTGCTTGCGAAATTGCCAGAAATAAAATAAAACAATAGTTTGATGAAAAGATTTTGGTCATTATAATAGCAAACTTTCAAAATTGCTTTCCTAGTTTTTTTCTTTTGATATTTCTGTTCCCTTTTATTGTTGCCAATGTATGTTTTTTTTTGAAAAACAAAGCATTTCTTGTTAGCTGTAGCTGCTGGAATAGTCTCATTCATAGCAGCCTCTCATGTGAATTTTAAAGGATTACATGAGAAGCTGCTCTGAATGAGACTGTGTGAGATCAACATATTCATCTGGTTATTGGTACTTCCTTTTGAACAATTTGTTCATCAGTGGCATCTGGCTGATATGTTTTGCTACAAATTATTTTAATGAAGATACCAAATTCTTACATAACTGACAGAAGAGACATTTTGGCTCTCCAAAGCTTACTCTGAAACATGTGGGATTTGATCAGTGACAGTACAAGATGGTGGCAAAAAAAGGTCTGGACAAGTTACATTGTCGGCTGAATAAATATGTTGGTGTAATATGAAAGAAACAACAACTACTATGTTAAGTGCATTAGTAATAAAACTCCACCTCACCCTTTTTTTTAATCTAAGTATTGGGCATTAAACTGCCAGAAGTTGATCTATAGGGTCATTATGTTGACTTTTACTCTCTGTTTTGCATTTTGTAATGAAATAACATTATTAGCCCTTTCGAGACAAGTCATGGGTGAGAGGCCATGTCATCTTGTTTGTTGACAGGTCTAGCTAACTAATGAATAAATATTTGCTGTAAAATTCTTATTAATGCTATAAGTGTAACTACCAATTTGGCTGCCAATTTCGATTTAATTCCTTTAAGTCGCACACTCAATCCTTTTTTGGCCACACCTATTTTTTTCACACCAAAGGTGTTTTTGATTAGATAAAGTATAAAATAAATGATAAAGTTTTCAAGTATTTAGAAGAGTACCATTTTCTTGTTTTCTGTTAAATATTAATTCAAGGCTGATTAATGTTATTTAACAGTTACTGTGAGTACATGATTAAGTTGCTAACTTCTAAACTAATTTGAGTAAATGATCATTAATTTTTTTCTCAGGCAGAGTTATTACATTTGTAATATTAATATCTATAACAACACAAAACCACCTATAGATAAAATCAATCACTCATTTTATTTAATATTTATTCTAATCAGGCATCTAATGATCATGCATGTAACCTGAAATATAAATTATTGATCATTCAGCCTGTAAGTAAACAACTATTCTTCGTTAATGTGATAGACATTTTCTGGTACAACAGTTTAGGATTAAATTACATTTTTATTAATAAACTGTTGTATATGAAAATGTATCAAATATATGCAACATAGTAAACAAAACCTCTAACAAACTGAAAATAAATTACTATCATTCCATAGGTTTCTCTCTCTACAAATTTTCACAAAAATTCTCTTGTAAAATTAACTTAACTAATTTGTTGTTAAAAATAAGCCCTTAGATTTAATGCGAAAAAACACTCTTAATACTAGGTGACTGCTTTACAGAAATTAAAATGATTCATAAGATGGATATACAAGTTTTACAAAAATTATTTGTCACAGTAATGCCAACAAAATTTTTAATTACCAGCATGTGTGAAATTTTTTGTTATTCCATCATCAATATGAAAAACTTAAAAATAAAAAAGCTTTAAAACTATAAAAACATCACAAGCTTTAAAGCAAAAGTTGTTGATATGGATGGGAGCGTTTAGAAAGAACATAATGTAATTGTTAATACATTAAATTTTACAGTACAGGCTAGAAGAAACTGTAGACAGACATACATGCTGAAAAATCAATAAATCAAATAACTTAAAGCTTGCTATGCTAGGTAAGTAGTGTTTAAGAGGCACATGACAACAGCCATACTTATATTTTACTTTTCTTGTGCTTCCTCTTTAGCTAGAGCTAGTCATAAATAAATAGTAGCCTGTCCGTGTAAAAACGATTAACCCTACGTGTATGGCATTGATCTGTTGGATCGATCCCCTATCTGTTAAGCTATACACAGTAATGTTTATTATTATTCACAAAATTTGAAAAGCTTGTAGTAAACATTACTAGTTTGTGTTTTTTAATATAGATTTGTATGTGAGTTTACAAACCTTACTGGATCAGTCTGAGTGCTAAATACCTTATAGTTTAATATTTCTTTTACATAATCTCTAGAACATCCTAAATGAATATCAAAAGTTTTTATGAACTTTTATCTTTTATTTTTTCTCTAAGTTGAAACTAAGTATTGTGAAATCGTCAGTGTACAGTGAAATGAAGATCTGAAAATTATAAAATAAAATGAATAATACATTTTTTTTCTTCTTTGGATGATTCTTTTTGCTTGATCATCATCATATTTTCAATTTTAAGTGAAACTTTTCATATCTGTTTTTTATTGTTTTATTACTTTATACACACTGATGCACTAATCCTCCTGTCCAAAGCTATAAATCACAGCTGGAGCTCATTAGTTATGTATCGTAAACAACACAAGTGAAGCACATGTTCTCTGCGAGTGCAAACCATAACTGTGCTAGGCCTGACTTTTATCTGAGGAAACTGTCTACATAAGCCTAGCAAAAAAAAAAAACACAATAACACCCTTGCAAAAGCAAAAACCTTTCTGTTGTTTATAAACATGTCTATCAAATAAGGACACATGGTTTTATATAATCCTTCAAAGCTGAGGTAGATGGGTGGAGTTTCGCTTGTAAATTGAATAATTTTATCTCCCAGCAGATTGAGAAGATAGGAGGTTCCACTTTTATATTTAATTTTGAATGAAACTCTGTAAAAGGGCATTACATGAGCACTTTGACCAAGCCGAGCACACAAGATTAATGACTTAACTATGTTAAACAATGTTAGACTATTATTAATCTAAGTCTAATAAATTTTGACAAATACAGTAAAATGAGAAAGTTATTCAGCATTTAAAATTATTTTTGAGCAAATAAAAAATAGTAGATATTAACTTGCTATAACTTTTTTATTAAAGTAATCTTACCCTAAATATCAAAGATTATATTTGTATCTTGTAAGCAGTATATTAATTTATATATAAAGCTATACTATGCAGAATTATACACAGAGTTTTCTCTACCTTAAAATACTTTTATTTGCGAGCTTTCGGTCCTCTTACTGTAGCCTTCTTTGTGTAATAGTGTACACTGTTGCCTGATAAATGCTCCAGTAAAGTACCAAAAGTTCACAAATAAAAGTATTTTAGCATAGAGAATAGTTTGTGTAATTTTACATTAACTTACCTACATTATGAGTCTTAAAAAACAATTATAAAGCCATACTCTTGTATAATCCAAACAAGGTAAACATGAACAGGCATCACTTTGGCTAGTTATTAGAGCTGGATGATTAAATAAATTAATGTAATGAAAATAATCAACTAATGTTTCCAATTATTCTGTTTTTTACAAGTCTGTTTTGCACAAAAAATCTGATTTTACTAAGACTTTTTCTGTTAATTCATCGAAAGTGATTTTCATGCTAAGAATAAAAACACTTATTTTCATCTTAGTTTTTCATATTTAATTTGAATAACATCTAGAACCTCCTAAATGAGTATAAAGTTTTTTTAAGATAAAATTCAATGTTTTATCTGTTATTTTCTCTACCTAACATTAACTGTAGCTAAATCATCAATATACATCAAAATGAAATTTTGAAAAATTCGAAATAAAATGGATATGCCTTTTTTTTAATCTCTGAATAAATGTTTCCACAACTTGATTTCATGATGTCCACAATATGAATTGTTTGCCTTTACACATAGTCATAATATGTGGTCTTTAACCTGTAGCATTAATGGTACTGTTCCAATGTTTTTATTTTTGCTCTGATCATATGTGTCACAATTCCATATGAAAATGGAGGGCATCTAATTCAATATTCTTTCCAATTGGGCATAAGTCCCCTTATCTGACCATATAATGAAGTGTAACTCCTCTGTTAAAAGAGTATTGTTACAAATGTTGTTAATCCACTTGATGTGTTATTTGAACCACTGCAGAAGAGCTGTATTGTGCCTTTCATCTAACATATGGACCAGCATTATTTCTAAGCACCTGCACATGGCACAATGTCCAAGTGCATCTGCAAATGTCTAATTCAATCTTCAAGTCCATACCCTATGTTGCCATGAGCCCAAATCAATAGATAGCAATTGTCTGCTTGTTTTATGACTGATGGCTTCCCATGTCTGAAAACTGCACCATTGGTTTGAAACAGGTTCCACACTTTGCTAACAATGCTTTGACTGGCTGGCTACCATTTGCTTCTCTGAATGTGAGTAAAATCTGCAAGTGTTTTCTGTGAAGTATAGCTATGATTCCTGAGCAATATGGAGTTCACTGAACTCTTGCTCACTTTGTAGCAGTTACTGAGACAAGACTGTATGGAACAATTATATATAGCATAGGCTGAATGACAAATCCTTTCATTTCAGGTCATGTGATTCATAATAAAATGTCTGATTTTCATAACCATGAACTTAGGTTGTATGGTTGACATTATTTAAAACAGTAATTTTACTTTGTCATAGCTTTAGTATTACAAAGCACAATGATCTTTTAGTTGTTTTTAGTAGTGTAGATCCTTGTTAGTAACTAAAAGTTTAATTACCACTTACAAACACAAAGCTCTTTCAGATTCTGAAAGTTTTCCATTGTTCCATGTGACTACACTTTAAAATATTTTATACATTTAGAAGTGTATATCTGTCATAAAGTATTTTATTTAACACAAAGTATTATACTTTGTGATGTTACCTCTAAAAAAGGTTTAGCTTAATAAAAAAGGGTTGAATAATAATTCAATAATTACTAAACTGAAATTAAAAAGTACATACAGAATTAACTTACTGTTCATGAATGATTGGAAGTTTGCTTGTTATTTGCTTTGTAAATGTGCAAGTCAGTCAACTCACTCAACTTATAAAAATCAATTTTCCCTCTTTTTAAAGTGTGTGTGTGTTATATACACTTCAGTTTTGAGTTAAATTTCATCAATTTACCAGCTAGTGTTTTTTGTTTTTATTTATCACTTCTTTCTAGTGACTACATATTTATGATTTGTTTTTTAACTACAGTGTTATTTATATTCAGCAAAATTTGGTAGTATCAGTTTTCCTATTATTAGGTTTTTGTTTCATTGGTAACTAAATCTTAAGTATACATTTGATATGTTTGACAGTTTGGAAAATGAAGACCAATTATTTCACTGTGAAGATAGCATTAATCTTTGTGTATAGCACATAATTTACCAAAAGGATTGTAAATAAAATAGTTTTTTACTATGATGTCAGTTAATAGATCTCTGAAGATTCTGAACAGTATTTGTTGTACTTAAAGCTATTAGCTGTTGTAACGAGCAATGTTGCACTGGGAGTTTAATGTTGAATGTATAATTATATATTTATTTTTTATTAGAATAAAATTTTTTGCTTCAGTAATTTGTTAGGGTCAATATCAAACAATAACTATCCTCAGCATTATATTACATACAGATTCCCCAGATCAGGAAAGCTAACTTTTAATATATTGAGTAATAAATCTCTTAAGAACAAAAAAGCATCCTTGCACATAATTTTGATAAGTAAAACTGTATCTCAGTCTGATAATATATATATATATATATACTAATTACACAGGGAAGAAGAAGAAGACAGAGACTTGGAATCAAAAATGTTAGCAAAAGGTCTTCAGCTGTCACCAGTGAGCAAGTCTTGAGGGGTTTTATACCATCTTACTGTTACTTCCATGTAAAACAAGCACTAGAGATCTCTTTTGTGGAAGTTTTGCAGAATTATCTACTCATAATTGTTGTTGTAGACATCTTACTCTGGAATCTAAGTCAAAGAGAAACTGATCAAGAGAATTGTGGAAAGCAGTCTTCTTTTTACTAAAACACAATCAAATTTCTAATAGATGTAGCAGCTTGAGAGGTTTCAGTAGCTATAACTGCTTAGATAAGAGAATACCTTTTGACAGGACAGATATAATAATAGGTTTTGTTTTGGGCTTGCTGAAAAAACTAAAGAGGTTATGGATTGTTTCATGAATTTGTAGTGTCTGTACTATAATAAACGTTAAAAAAAAGGAATGAAAGAATGGGCATCTTGAAAAGTTTGGTATGTTTTTATTTCTCTGATGAGGGAATTATTCTATGCCATTAACTGCTGTTGTATAAATATACCTGTTCTTGTTTTTTTGTTGTGTTAAGTCTAATTATTTTTACTCTGTTTTTTAATGAACAAAGAATTTCAAGAAAATGATTGTGATCATTTTTCAGAGCAACATCTACATATAGTTAACATTAAAGTGTGTGTTTTTCTGTTATTTTTCATTAAAGTTGAAGTATGGTATAAATAGCTTGAAGATTAAAAGTAACAATTGCACAGCCTTTTTTGATAGACATTTTAGCTTGCCAATGGTTTCTAATATGATTTTCAAAATGATATTAATTTTGACTCGTATATATATTTGTATATACTGGGATGAACATTGTAATGCCATTTATGAGGAAAAAGGACTTGCAACATTTTCGTCAGTTATTTTACTTAAACAGGTACTGATGTAAAGAGTGCTCTTGTCTAATTTTCAAGTTATATTAAAAAACATATTATTAATGATACATGTAGCTTACTATGTGTAATAAAAAAAACATTTTTTTTTCGTAATTCGTGAAGAAAAATATCTTATGTTAATTCATGTTGTTTGAGCAACAGGTAATTAATATTACCTTCTTTAAAATGATCATAATTATTGTAAGAAAATGAAATCTACTACCTTGTAATATATATATATATATATATATGTGCAGAAGAAGTGCTTTAAATAGTATGACTTATGAAGAGATACACTTCATGTTTTCCTAATTTAGATTGCAGATTAATTGCACAAACATCTATAGGGAATAAACCTATTAACTATAAGCAGGTTATAATAGGAATCTTAAAGTTTTAAGATGAATAACAAGTTTTTTATCATTGTGTTTTATTACATTAATGTTCACTTTGAAATATGATGCTATGTATACCATTTAATGTTTTGTTCAATAGATTATAGACAAGAAAACTGAGAATGTTTATTTGGTATGCTGGCTAATATTCTTGCAACATTTTAGGCATGCTTACAAGTTAACCAACCACTTTAAATGTCATAGATAGTCTTTCGCATTTCTTTCAAAAAAATGTCTGTATCATAACAATTTGTATGTGTGTTTTTGTTTTTTAGTATGCATATACCTTCACCCCATTCTCTTTTGAAATACATATGTTAGTTTATTTGGCACAGTAAAACTGAAGTGTCAAGTTTGATTCAATTTTGAGGAACCAAATCCGGATGAATGTTCATTACATTCAAGTTGTAGAAAATCAGTGTCAGTGTTTTTTGTTAATATGATTTAGCTATTTCATCAAACTTAATTAAGAACTGTACAAAGCATTTACTAGTACTGGCTAATTTCAGAATAGTATATATCTTTCATTTAATGGTTTTAGTATAATAATATGTTTGTATATTGTATTAACGAAAACAGATAGGTAGAAGGAAAAAGAACAGTATACTTTGATAATTTAAGGTGGTTGGTAATGGTGCAGCTCAGGAGAATTAAATCTCATGTTTTGTATAAATGATACATTTTTACCAGGTTCTGCTGTATGTAAAGGTTGTTTTCATACTCCGTTTTAGAAACTCCTTTGTAAACAGGATGCACCAGAAAGATTATTATATGGCTATATTTTGAAACAGCTTACATTGGCAGTACTCTATGAATACATTATGCAATTGGTATTATGGTTTTTTTAGTTAAAAACGAATACCTACCCAATAATTTAGTGCTTTTGATATGAGGATCAGAATTTTTTTTATTTACAACAAATAGACTGATCTCATGCAACATCTTTATAGAGAAATTAAATTCTTTAGAAAAAATATTGTCTCCATTTTGTGATTGAGCTTATACTTAATGCAAGTTATATATCAATTATAATTGATAACATATTCACTATGCTGTGATCTTTTTTTTTTTATTACTGAAAACAGTTTCAACCATTTTGTAATGATTTATGCCAGAACATCAGATGAAGATTCACTAGTGCCTACAGTTTTTATTTTCAAGAGTGTGTGTGTGTGTGTACTGTCTTCACATTGTACACGAGGAGGCTATAAAACTTAAGTTTGTTTTATATTCTTTTCAGTAGCAAATTTTTATCATAAAGCATTACTATTTTATCAGGAATATAAATAAAATTGTGTTACAGGCCAACTGATAAATAAATTTGATAAGAAACCTTGAGATATGCCAAGTTAAAAAAAAGTAGTTGTTTTATCAGCATGCATATTAAATGAGCTATTCTTAACTTAGAGTTTATTACTTATGGTAAAAGTAATGAAGGTTAGTGACAAGATATTATTAATTCCTGATTAATTGTTAATTCAGAATTCTTAAAGGAATATAAATAAGATTACTTATAAATTACTTATAAATGTAAGCTTAAGTAACCTTTATAACTACGTGTGTAAGTCTTAAAAAAGACAGCTTTTCCCAAAATAATATGGATCAGATGAAATGATAAAGCAAATGTATTTTCTTTTCATATTGGTTTGAGCTTTATGCATGGGGGAAACTATATTTTTTATTATCATATTTACCAAATACTTTCATAAAAATTGAGATAAAGTTATGATATTGTTATTTACTATAATATGCTTAAAATGACTGCAAAGTAATGTAAGAAATAAAGAAGTTTAATGTTTGTGAATGTGAAGAATTGTATCAAGTTTTTGCTTTCTTTTATATTTTTTTTTATTGAACATGAATTTAGTTTATAGAATGTGACCTGATTTGTTGAGTATTTTAGAACCATGATTTTCAGCTAATATGTGGTCATTCATTTTAGGCAACGCTTTTTTTATCTTTAACTGTACATTAAAATTGTAAAGGATTCAGCTGAATGATTTGGAAACTAAAATAAAGTTGATTGTTATTTCATATAATGTTCAGTTGTATCTTTGAAAATTTAATTGTTTTTAGCATTTTTTTATGACAAGTAAAATTACATGGAACATCAAAATGTTCTTATACCAGATTTGACTGAGTTTTTATAACTGACCTATAATTCCCTTCTTTCATAAGAAGAATTGAATATATGATTAGTAGCTTTTCATTATAAAGCCAAGAGGCTTGAAATATTGTTTTAACAACTTATTTTAATCTTTATTAGAGAAATCACTCAATGTCTAAAGTGATTGCGACCTGGCTTTACCTGGAAATCCATTGAATTTAATGTTTGGTACAATGAAGTGTGCTCCAGTTTGTGGTCAGTTTAATGAAGTTTTGAGAGAATCCTTTCTGGGTCTTAGAGTGAGAAAAGTTCACATTTCTAAGTCAAACATTTGTAAAAAAGAAACTAAGTCTTCTAAATGTCCCGGCACAGATAGCCTATTTGCTTTGCACCATTAAATGCCAAACAACCAACCAACCAATCTAAATGTCCCATCAGACTCCACTTTCTTAACACATTTAGTAACTGTCACTCCCTTCTTACATTCAGAAATAAATGTGTAAATACACTTAGAAAAATTAAATGGATTAATCTTAATACACATAGCTGTTTTGACAATAAAGATGCCACAACTATAAAACTGCCTGTAAGGTCACAGGAAATAAATGTTTGAGCTACAGATAACACATTACCAATCATTAGTTCTTGGTTCATATAAAAAATAGATTTCCCCTTTTCCTAAGCTTTGTGTGTGTAATGCTGTACTACAATTGCACTTTTTACACAGTTAAAGTGAGGCTTATGAAACACATTCATGCTTAGGCACAGTACATGATTAACACAATATAGAGTAAAGAAACATGCATGCTCTAGATTTTGCAAGCAATTTTTGATTTACAGATTGTACTGATCTCCTGCATAACTACTTTAAAGCTAATTGGTTCTCTGTCACTTTACAGATCTCAAATGAGAAAATTAATTTCAATGCTGTATAGATGCATAATAAGTAGGATGTTAATTCTACTCAGTATGATCATAAGAACAAAATTTATTCAATAAAAATAATGTCTTTGGAGTTGTAAATTCTTTTCCAAAATTTACAATATTGTTAGCAGCTGTTTTGGGGTTAAGATTTAAAAATGTGCAGGTGCTAAAACTAATTACAACAATGATAGCATGTTGAGTTGCAATGACTGTGGTTACTATATCAATAAATAGGGGGGGGGGGAGAATCAAATTTTAATGGAAATTATGGATTGCTGGTTATTTGTAGAATTGCTTTAAGAAGTATTCAAAACAAAATAAATGCTGCAATACAAAGTACACAAAATGGAAAGTTTAAAAAAAAATTTTTCAGGAAAAAATGAATAGTTAGATAATTTGTCTAATGTCAATTACTTGGTATGTGGTTTGAAAACATACGATATATTTCTTGCTATTTTGCCTAGAAAGTTGAAGCATTTTTGCTCACCAAATTTTTTGCTTGTACACTTTGGTAAGCATGTTAACGTGTTGCATACAAAAAACACTTCAGATAGCATTGCCTTTATTTTTGTGCTACTCATATATTGTCAAAAATCATTTCACTTTTTTTTTTCTGAATTTTTCCCACAAAAGCATTACTTCTGTTAATGGGTTCTCAAGTTGTTTCATTTCTGTAGAGATTTAGAAATACCTGAAAACTGACTTAAATTTCTTAAATGGAGTGATAAGGAGATGTAGGTAATCTATTCACTCTTGAGAAATTTAACCCTTTCCAGATGAACATATAGTGATCCAAATCATATTATTTGCTACAGATCCTTCTCAAATTTACAGAAAGATGTGCAAATGCTTTATGTTTTGTGCACATGTCTGGCTGAATTGTTTACTGCCATATATTTAATAAAGTGTTTTTGTCTGCTGGTAAATTTGGTCTAAATTCAGTCAGGTCAGAAATAAGATTAACTCTGCAACAGATTTTCTGCTGAACCTCTTGTTAGAGCAGTTACCATTCAGGTATCAGTGTACCCGAGAATACCACAGAGTAAGGTTGGAGTTTTCTATACTTTGAATTTGTGTGTTTTTTAACTCCTCTTTGCACTCTTATGGAGTCTTAGTTTGAAGTTTGGTAAAATTTGAAAATGACAACTTCCAGATGATGAACTTAGTTGCTGAAGTGAGAACATGGTATAGCCTAATAGAAGTAATCTCCTGAAAATTAGTCTTTCAATGCTTATGCCAAAGGCCATGTCCACAGTCTAAATCTGACCACAAGTCCATGGAGGAGAACAACAGCTTGGGATTTTCTGAGCTGTTAATCCAGTTTTGCATGACTTGAACTTCAGCAGAAATGTAAATTAACAACTAAGAACCACTATGGTAACTTGCAGGTTGGAGTTCTGGTAAAGGAATTGGGGGGGGGGGTATTTGCAGTGCATTAAGACTGTCAGTGATCATTAGTGTAGAACCCCACTTATGGTCATTGTCACCTGTGCCAAAGCTGAATGACAGAGTGTTTACCATGCCAACATGTCACTTAGTTGGCCAAGAACAGGGACCATGAGTTTATAGGAATGTTGAAGTTTCTAGGCATTAATAGAAGCCAGTATCTATAATGCTGTAGATATCTCAGTAACATAACTTGGTGGGAGCAGTAGCTAAAGTTACCAATACTTGAGTCATTAGACAGTTTGTTGTATGCTATAAGCATAAGCAGTAATATGTGATGTTGAGACAACACACATGTACATGTATCATGACATCATAAGAGCTTGGTCATTTATGCACTACCAAAATACACAACTGCCTTGCGAGGATTTTACGATATCAAGGTATGAAAGTAGCTTGTTGCACTTTAAGTGAAAATATTATGATACTAAATTCTTCACTGGTGTTTGTGAAAGAATAAACTTGAATATTTGTGAGTTTGCAGGTTTGTCACATGTTGGCTTACACTAACTACATTAGTGAAAAGCAGGTGTTACCATACATTTAAATTAATAATCATGATGGTTGAGTTTGGCAGAATTTAAATATTCGTAAGCAAGCGAAATCACCTAAAGAAAGTGAAACTGCTCATAGTAGCAAATGTGTCATCTCACAGGAAAGCATGGTGCACTGATGTATTTATTGATTTTGATGCAATGAATTCAATTTTTTCGAAATGAAATATTTCATAAGCTTATAGTTGTAGCGAATATCTTCTTGACAATTATTTTCTTTTCAAGTTGCAGTATAAACACACTATATGGCTTGAGGCATGTAAGAAACGCCTGTGTGGCATTGCTTGTATTGCAACCTAACTCAAACAAAGATATGATGCTTGTGTTAATGGACTTTGTTACTTGTTTACACTAGCACTCTTAACCCATCCTTCTCCCACTTAACCAGAGCTATGTTTTAACAACCAGCCAGTGGTATGATTAGTAGCCATACTAGCTTATGAGAGTTGTTCTCAATAGACATTGGCTCAGTAGGAAGCAGGGCAATGTATTGGTTATGTGTAGGTCTCATATGAAACATTTTCTCAAGCAATAATGTGTGTGTGTTTATATATATGCCTGCAGAAATAAAACTTGAATAAAAATATTTTTAAAGCCCAATATCTAAAATCAGCATGATTACAGCACTTGCAATATGTGAGTCACATGTTCAAATCCCAGCACTTAACTTGTCCTTTCAGCTATGAGGATGTTAAAATGTGTAGTCAATCCCACTTAACTTGTCCTTTCAGCTATGAGGATGTTAAAATGTGTAGTCAATCCCACTAACTTGTCCTTTCAGCTATGAGGATGTTAAAATGTGTAATCAATCCCACTATTCCATTAGAGTAGCCCAAGAATTGGCGGAGGATGGTGTTCACTAGCTGTCTTCCCTCTTGTCTATCAGTAGCTAGCACAGATATTCCTCGAGCAGCCTTGTGTGAAAGCTCAACAAACAATATATTTCAAAAATTGTAACTGCCCAGTTGCACTTTCAAATTACAATACTAGTTGAACTTCTGACCCAACAGAAACTGAGCTGACCAAGCATTTTCAGACCTGATTTTAACTATATAAGATATTCTAGTTATCTTGTTTTTTTCAATATGCTGTCTACCTTACCATAATAGACCAAATTCCTTTTTTTTTTTTCATTTTGGCAACCTAAGGAAGTTATATGATGTACCAAGGATGATGAGGTGAATTTTCTGTAGGCAGAAAATCTCCAGTAATCGAGCTTCTTCATGAGCTTCCAAACATCTTGCCCTGTAGTTTGAATGTTCATTGGATTTACCGCCAATATCAGCCAAACATCAATCTCGGGAGTCATCCATGAAAGCAGTATTAGAGCCCAGACTGCCATCATCCACTCGTTCCATCAGCTACAGCCCCCTTCCCAGTTAAAGATAGGCAGGAGAAGTTGAAACACCCCATCAAGTGCCATTTTTGTTCGATGTTAAAAGACCACAAACCAATGATATTGCATCATGTTGACCTAGCACCTCTAGCAGAATCACAATATACCCAAAATAAAGTAGAAATTCTTGGGGCTAAATTATATCGAATCATCTAAGAATCCTCAGGTTGCAAAGTGAGTCATGTTGTCAACTGGAATACACTATCAGAGATGCTGGAGTCAAGACCACCAGTCTAGAATAGCCTGAGAGCTTTGCTAGGTCTATACAGAACACTCCACAAACATTTCTATATATGTGAAGAACAATATAAAACTAACAGGACATGAGTATGGCTGTATGAAAAGATTACTTCCAGTAGTCTCAACCAACACGTGGCTGAGACACTCATAATGTTTTATGTACTGGATTATGTTGGTTCCCAAGGGCTTCAATGTTCCTACCATGCACGGGCCCAGTTTTTGATCAACGTAGTGATGCACAGTAGTAGAAAACAAAGTAGTGTCCTGCTCTGCATGACTTTAGTCTTCCATATGACCCCAGTAATTCCAGCAACTCGCCCCCTCCCCTTGGAAGACTGGTGTCAACTCCATGGGTTACTTCTTCTGTTGACG